GGCGGGGCTCGCCCGGCGGGACGGGCGCTGCAGCCGCCTCCGCACCCCCGCCGCAGGTCTGCCCGCTCAAAGCGGCCATGGAGCAGCTCAACACGCAGGAGGTGGAGGTCCGCATGCGCCTGGCCGAGCTGCAGCGGCGCTACAAGGAGAAGCAGCGCGAGCTGGTGAAGCTGCAGCGGCGCCACGACCACGAGTACGTCCCCATCCCCGTCCACATCCACATCCCCGTCCCCGTGCTGGGAATGGTGCATGGAGGATGGGGGAGCCCCAGGGGATCCCTCAGGGGGAGGCGGCAGCGCCAGTCGCTGCTGTGATGAGCTGGGGGCCGTTCTCAGCCCGCGCGGCCGGGGGGGCAGTGCGCGCGGGGGGCACCCGGGCGCCTCTCACGCTGCCCCCGCGGTGCCGCGGCGGCCGCAGGAGGGACGAGAGCTCGCGGAGCCCGGCACGGCGCGGCCCGGGCCGGCCCAGGAAGCGCAAACACTCCAGCACCCTGAGCAAGGGCGACAGCCGCAAAGTCAAGTGAGTGCCAGCCGGGGCGCGCGGGCCGTGGTGGGAGCGCCGCCGGGGCCGGTGCCGCCGGGACCGGTTCGCGGAGCCCCTCGGAGCGTCGCTGCCCCGGGGAGCCCCGCTCGGGCGGCCCCCCCGCGCCGAGGCGGGAGCAGCGTTGCATAAAAGCCCCTTTATCTGCGCGGTATAAAGTCATTGGTCACGCTGCAGTGGTGTTCATTGCTGCTGGCGCTTTATTATTATCCATTAGCCGCCCGGCGCAGTCGTTTTCACACTCCCGGGCCCTGTATAATTGTCCTTCTCCGCTACAAATTGCCTCTCCCGACAGGCCCATTTGCATAAATCCTGCGAGCTAGTCCAAACACGGCCGGGGCGCGTGTGCGCGCGCGGCAGCGGGCCCCATGATTCGGTAATAACAGTTAAATCTGCACTAAATGGTGCCTTCAATTAAGACAGGGGGAAAGGGAAAAAAAAAAAAAAATTAATCTCTGGGTTTTATGTCAGCAAACATTAGCGCGCGAGGGGAGGCGCGGGGAGGGGGCGGCGGGCGGCCGTGCCCACGCGCGCCCGCCCGCCCGCAGGGCCGTGAAGAGCAGCCTGTCGCTGCTGTGCGCCGAGCTGCGCGCCGAGCCCGAGCCCAAGCGCAGGAGGCCGCGGCGAGGACGGGCGCCGCGGGGGCTGCGCCGCCGCTCACACGCCCCCGCGGCTCAAGCAGAAGGCCAAGAGCAAAGGGCTCCCCGGCGGCATCGGCCCCTTCCGACGGAAAGAGCCCGGCGCCGGCAGCCGCATCCAGAAGAAGCTGTCACGTGCCAAGGGTGCCAAGGGCGCCGGGAAGTTCCCGCCGCCGGAGCCCAGCCCCCGGGAGCCACCGGCCTTCAAAGGCAAGAGCGGCACCGGGAATGGGCGCCCGTCACCCCGCGGGGACCTTCCCCGTGCAGCGGCCTCGGTGCTCAGTGCTGCTCCCGTCCCCGCAGACGAGCACGACGGGGACACGGACAGCGAGGATGGTGACGACGAGGAGGACGAGCCGGGCCTGGCGCTGCTGCCCGCCGTGCCCCTGGCCGTGCTCGGGCCCTCGCCCTCCTCTGTGGTGAAGATGGAGGCCAACGAGAAGGCCAAGAAGAAGAAGGAAAGGCAGGGACTGCTAGGTAACGGGCCGGTGCCGCGGGGCGCGCCGCGGGGACGGCGGGATGGGGACGGGATGGGCTGCACGGGATGGGGACAGTGCGGGGATGCGTGCAGGGGACAACATGGGGACACATGGGATGCAGATGGTGCAGGGCTGCATGGGAGGCGGATGGGGCAGGGATGGTCCACGGGGATGCATGGGATGGGAACAGTGTGCAGATCCATGCAGGGGTGCATGGGGCAGGAACGGTGCAGGGAGGCATGTGGCACAAATGGTGCAGGGGTGCATGGGACAGGAGCATTGCAGGGATGCATGGGGCAGGAACGGCGCAGGGATGCATGCCAGGGATGCCATGGGGATACACGGGAAGGGGGTTGCACAGCAGTCCAAGGAATGGGGATGGCACAGGGACACGTGCCGGGGACAGCATGGGGACACATGGGACAGGACCCGCCCCGGGGCTCTTGGCTCGAGCCGCGCGTCCCTCCCGCAGGGCCCTGCCGCCTCGGCAGCCCCGAGGGCGAGGTGAAGATCAAGCGGCGGCCGGTGAAGCCGGGGGCCGGCAAGCTGGAGAAGGTGCCGGCCCGGAGCAAGGCGGGCGCCGGCGAGGACGGCGCCAAGAAGAAGCTGAAGGCGAAGCCCAAGGAGAGCCTGCGGGCGCCGGGCACCGGCGGCGCCAGCGCCGCGGCCGCCAGCAGCAGCCTCTTCGGCGGCGCCGAGCCGCGGCACTTCGGCGCGCGGGACGACGGCGCCCGCCTGGCCAGCGAGCGCCTCAAGAAGGCCACGCGCAAGAGCAAGGCGCTGCAGTCGGCGCTGCGGGTGAGCGCGGGCGGCACGCGGGCACGGCGCTGCGGGGCGCCCGGCGCCGCCTCTCACCCGTTGTTGTCCCCGCAGCGCAAGAACGGGGCGCTGGCGCTGGCGCTCTCGCCCCGGAGCGCCAAGACCATCCTCGGCAAGGGCAAGAAGCTGGCCAAGGTGAAGAGCAAGGTGGCAGGCAAGCAGGTGAGGGGACGGGCATGGTGTGTGGGCCCCAGGGCTGGTGCCTGTGCCCTGCCGCTGGTTCGTGTCCCCTGGGGCCAGTGCATGTGACCCCAGCCTGTTGCATGTCCCCTGGGGCCAATAAATGAGCCCTGGGGCCAGGGCCTGTGCTCTGGGGCTGGTACATGTCCCCTGGGACCAGTGCTTATCCCTTTGGGTCAATGCTTGTCCTCTGGGATGGGCGCGTATCCTTTGGGGCCAGTGCTTGTCTTTGGGGGCCGGTGCATGTCCCTTGGGGCTGGTACACGTCCCTTGGGGCTGGTACACATCCTCGGAGTGGCTGCACGTGCCCTGCTGTGGGCTCCTGCCCGCCGGGGCCGGCGCGTGTCCCCGGTGTCCCGGCCGGCGGTGACGCCGCTGCGCCCGCAGTGCAAGGGGCGCGCGGTCAGCAAGCTGCTCGAGAGCTTCACGGTGGAGGACGACTTCGACTTCGACGACAACAGCAGCTTCTCGGAGGAGGAGGAGGAGGGGGGCGGCCTCGGGCGCCGCTCGCCGCTGCCGCACGCCTGCGCCATCCAGAAGGAGGATCTGCGCGACGGGCTGCACATCCTCATCCCCAAGGAGGACAGTCTGCTCTACGCCGGCAGCGTCCGCACCATCCAGCCGCCGGACATGTGAGCGGGACGGGACAGGCGCCGGGGCGACCCCGCGGTGCCGGGTGCCCCGCCGGGCGCTGAGCCCCTTGCTGCCCTCCTGCAGCTACAGCATCGTCATCGAGGGTGAGAGGGGCAACCGACAGCGCATCTACTCGCAGGAGCAGCTGCTGCAGGAGGCGGTGAGCGTGGTGGTGGCACCCAAGGGTGACGCAGCCCCTGAATAGGGGCAATCCAGCCCCTGAATGGGGACAGTGCAGCCCCTAAGCTGGGGCAATGCAGGCTCAGAGCCCAGAGTGATGCAACCTCTGAGATGGAGAGGTGCAGCCCCTGAACCCTGAGCCATGCAGTCCCTGAACCGGGGGCAATGCAGCCCCTGAGCCCCTAGAGATGCAGCCCCTGACCCGGGGATGATGCAGCTCCTGAACCGGGAGCAATGCAGCCCCCAACCCCAGAGTGATGCAGCCCCTGAGCCCCTAGACAAGTGGCCTGTGAGTTGGGGGTGATGCAGCCCCTGAACTGGGGGTGATGCATCCTCTGGACTGGGGAGATGCAGCCCCTCATCCCAGAGTGATGCAGCCCCTGAACTGAGGATGATGCAGCCGCTGAGCCCCTAGAGATGCAGCCCCTGACCCAGGGGTGATGCAGCCCCTGGGCCCAGAGCGATGCAGCCCCTGGGATGGGGAGCTGCAGCCCCTGAGCCGGGCCTGACGCAGCCGCCCGCGCCGCTCGCGCCCAGGTGCTGGACGTGCGGCCGCAGTCGCGGCGCAGCCTGCCGCCCGGCACCCGCGTCTGCGCCTACTGGAGCCAGAAGTCGCGGTGCCTCTACCCGGGCAACGTGGTGCGAGGTGAGGAGCGGGGCCGGGGCGCC